GGGGGGGAGCACACATGTCTTTGCCTTCCCCAGATTCTGGAGGCTTTCCTCTAGAAGGGTGAAAACTTCCACAAGGCATGTTTCCCCCCTCCCTGAGCCTCCACTTCGGCCTTCACTTACCTTGCATCCAAAACGGGACACATGGAGACTCCTGGGAGGGCTGGGCTGGGGTGGGAGCTTCCAGGCTGAGGTGGGAGGGGCTAGCCAGGGATGGAATTTGGAGGTTCTCTGAACTGGCTATAACATTAACTATAGGTTCTCCTGAACCCAGATGAACCCATCGCAAAAATGGGCTGTTTTTGGGAGGTCTGCACAGTGCAAAAACTTTTTTAAAAAATTTGCCTCTTCGAAATTTTGGTGCATCTTATATTCCGGTGCATCTTATACTCCAAAAAATATGGTAAATAGGTTTGCTTTCTCTCTGTTGCTTTTCACCTTCTTGCCACTTTCTTCCATTAGTGACCAATTGCTTCCTAATTTTTTTTTGTTATTTTTGACTTTTGTCGCAAGTTCATTTTGAGCCTTAGCTTTCCTCATTTCATCTTTGCAGACTCAGGCTATGTGCTGATATTCTGCCTTAGTTATGTGCCCCTCTTTCCATTTTTTATACTTGTCATTTTTGTCTTTCCATTTATCAGACAGATCTTTGTGCAGCCATGCTGGTTTCTTTTGAGAGCTGTTATTTTTCTTCTTCATTGGTATCTAGGGAGATAACTGCTATGAATATTTGCCCCAAATATACATAGTATAGATCCTTCTTCTATCTCTATCACCCCAGGGGTACCAGTATTATTCTTTTGAATGTTGATAGATCTATTTAATTTATATAATCCTTTTGGTTTATAGGGAAGTTTCAAAATGCTGATTCAATTTTGCTGGTATAGCCTTCAAAGGACTGACAAAAGTGTATCAATCTAATCTTGTACTAATTATGTTTATGTGCTGTTCAGTTAATACTACTAAAACATGCCTAATGACAAAATAACATAAATATTTTTATCACAATATATCCAGGGTACTCCTGGAATAAATAATAACACAGCAGGACAAAAAGGTTTCAAAGGAAGAAATGGAAGAAAGGTAATCAGTTATTTTTATAATATGTTTCTTGATCACTAGAATGTTAGTTGAACGTTGCTTTAATAAAAATGTAGTATGTTTTTATGATATTAAGGGAAGACTAGTATAGATTTGGTAACCACTTGTTCTGTTCAAAACAAATACAGTTTCTATGTGGGAGCCACAGTTTGCTCCTTGGTGTCTTGGTCCTAAATTGTATAAGTAGAGAAGCACCCAGTTTACATAAAATAATACAACTATCTATCCATATAGTAGCATCTGTGTGGAAGGGCAAAAAGTGACAACGATGACTGGGTAATTGAAGCTCTACCACTTTTTTATGCACAAGTGTGACATACATACAAATATGGCATGGGACTTTGAACGTGTAGTAGCAGCCCTTATCTTCACTCCCACCAGGTCTGTCTGTCTGTCTGTCTGTCTGTCTGTCTGTCTGTCTGTCTGTCTGTCTGTCTGTCTGTCTGTCTGTCTGTCTGTCTGTCTGTCTGNGAGCCGACCTCCAACCTCTGTGCCCCTCCCTTCTGGGAAATCCAGGAAGGAATAGTCGCTACTTCTCTAGCCAAAGTATTTCCTGGATCTCTATGGTACTGGGTCATCTTTTCTTATAAAAGGAGGTAAAAGTGGCAGGGGTTGTTCCGTTTTCTTGCTTTAACGTTTTAATATCTTCAATGAAAGCACTGAGATATAGAGAGAGGTTAGACAGAGTGTCTTTTGTCTTGCCCCAATTAGGATTTCTTAAGCAAATCCATTGGGCTTTCAACATGAAGCCAGAAAATCGGGACTTTTTAAAAACGCCCCGGGACATGGGACAAATTGTTAGAAATCGTGATTGTCCCACCAAAATCGGGACATCTGGTCACCTTATCAATTTCCATATGGCCAGGGGATCCTTACTTTCATTATAATATGAAATAATAGCATTTATTTCTAATATTCATTTTTGGACTTCTAGAACTTATGGCACCTCAAACTTGTTGGTACCTCTCTTTTCTGCCAGTATGGTTTCAGCTATAAGAACAATGACATTCAGAGCTGAATGAGGAGGAATGAGGCAACATTTCTCAAACATACATTTTTCAATTTTTACAATAAGAGTAAAAATTCAATTTATAGTACATAAGTGTATTATAAATAGTATTATACAAGTGTATAATTACTGAGATCCAAACTAGCATTAGTGTCATCCTCCCTCCCCATACTACCATAGCATTTTTGTATTCCAAAATAACATTACTGATATATTGTTTTACCTCTGTCAATACTACACTGATCTCAGCTTCTCTTTGTAGTGCAGGAAGGTATAAACCATTTATAGTTAACAGTGAGCTAGTACACAAACTGAGAATTAGGCACATGGCCATTTGCATTAAAGGAGTGATGGATGTAGATGTTCCTCTCAGAAATGAGGATGCCCAACTGCCTTCAGCTATTCTGGCCATCTGCCAGAAGTTGCTTCCATTTTGTATGAATTAAGACTCAGTTACATCTTGTTGTTCAAAACATCTCTCATGTGTTTTGTTTTTTAAAGGGCAGCCCAGGAGTCAAGGGAATTCATGGTGAATGTGGCAAAAATGGTTTCCAAGGAGATCTGGTAAATATTTTTTTAATGGAAATGAATGTCATGTATTGTTCTATGGTTAAAAATATTAGGGAAAAATGAGTCATTTTGTATATAATAATGATTATTTTTAAAAGCTATTGATAAGAGACAACTGAGGGAAATTTTTGGTTTTATTTATTCTGCCTAGTTATGCACATGTGTATATTATAGATATTTTAGAGACTGGAATTGTGTTAGAATTAACAGAGAATCACTGTTACTTTAGGTCCACAATGTTAATCTCCATATACTCTCTTTAAAGAAGAGTGTATGCCAGTAATATTATACATTTATACTGCAATTTTAAATATAATATATACTGTATTTAGAATACATTAAATATAATATATATTTAGAAAGAATAGAATAGAATTGGAAGGGACCTTGGAAGTCTTCTAGTCCAACCCGCTGCTCAAGCAGGAAACCCTATACCATTTCAGACAAATGGATGTCCAATCTCTTCTTTAAAATTTTCAGTGTTGGAGAATTCACGACTTCTGGAGGCAAGTTGTTCCACGGGTTAATTGTTCTGTCAAGAACATTTATTCTTAGTTCTCGGTTGTGCTTCTCTCCTTGATTAGTTTCTATCCATTGCTTCTCAATCTTCCCTCAGGTGTTTTGGAGAATAGCTTGACTCCCTCTTCTTTGTAGGAACCCCTGTGATATTGGAACACTTCTATCATGTCACCCTTAATCTTTCTTTTCATTAAATTTGACATACTCAATTCCAGCAACTGTTCTTTATATGTTTTAACCTCCAGTCCCCTAATCATCTTTGTTGCTCTTCTCTGCATTCTTTCTAGTCTCAACATCTATTTTACATCTTGGTGACTAAAACTGGATGCAGTATTCCAAGTGTGACCTTACTAATGCATTATAAAGTGGTATTAATACTTCACATGATCTTGATTCTATCCCTCTCTTAATGCAGCCTAGAATTGTGTTGGCTTTTTTTGGGCAGCTGTAGACACTGCTGGCTCATATTTAAGTGATTGTCCACTAGGACTCCAAGATCTCTCTCACAGTTACTACTATTGACTGAGGTACCACCTATACTGTACCTGGGTACAAGAGTGGCTTCAAAAATTTCAGCAATGGGCTCTCTGTCTGGTTGCTGGGTGGGTGTGGCCATGGTGGGTGTGGTGTAGTTTGC